CTGGTACTGGTACTCCCTGTATATAGCTCCACATTGATCTGGTACTGATACTCCCTGTATATAGCTCCACATTGATCTGGTACTTCCTGTATATAGCTCCACATTGATCTGGTACTGGTACTCCCTGTATATAGCTCCACATTGATCTGGTACTTCCTGTATATAGCTCCACATTGATCTGGTACTGGTACTCCCTGTATGTAGCTCCACATTGATCTGGTACTGGTACTCCCTGTATATAGCTCCACATTGATCTGGTACTGGTTCTCCCTGTATATAGCTCCACATTGATCTGGTACTTCCTGTATATAGCTCCACATTGATCTGGTACTCCCTGTATATAGCTCCACATTGATCTGGTACTGGTACTCCCTGTATATAGCTCCACATTGATCTGGTACTCCCTGTATATAGCTCCACATTGATCTGGTACTGGTACTCCCTGTATATAGCTACACATTGATCTGGTACTTCCTGTATATAGCTGCACATTGATCTGGTACTCCCTGTATATAGCTCCACATTGATCTGGTACTCCCTGTATATAGCTCCACATTGATCTGGTACTTCCTGTATATAGCTCCACATTGATCTGGTACTCCCTGTATATAGCTGCACATTGATCTGGTACTTCCTGTATATAGCTCCACATTGATCTGGTACTTCCTGTATATAGCTCCACAGTGATCTGGTACTTCCTGTATATAGCTCCACAGTGATCTGGTACTTCCTGTATATAGCTCCACATTGATCTGGTACTTCCTGTATATAGCTCCACAGTGATCTGGTACTTCCTGTATATAGCTCCACAGTGATCTGGTACTTCCTGTATATAGCTCCACAGTGATCTGGTACTTCCTGTATATAGCTCCATTCTTGTGTATTTTATTCCTTGTGTTAGTTCCCATTTTATTTTTGTAACTCAGCATCGTTGGGAAAGGTTTGAAAGCAAGCATGTCACTGTAAAGGTCCAAAAGGCAGCTTCTACCTGTTAGATTAATTTGTATTTTAAGAATAATGACTAAAGGATTTCACCCCAAATACAGTATAAATGTGTGAACGGTGTTAGAGTTATAATGTAGTGGCAGCCCACTAACAGAGGGGGGCGGGACTAAACATTCCAGGGTGAAGGGGACTGAGAAAACGGGTTAAAAAAAGCCTCCTAAAGGTGGGCGGAGCAAAGTGCCTTTGTGTGTCAAGGGGTATAAAACAGGAGGGTATGGGTTTTGGCGCCAGAGCTCTCCATGAATAAAAATACAGATCATTCTTCGTGGTTGTGGACCTTGAATCATTTATTATTAAAACCAGAGCCTTGAGTCAAGCTTAGGTTGAATTAGAGATATAAATTCTCATGACAAGTGGTTCTTCGAGCCGGATCTTAAATACGTCTTTGTCATTCTAAGGACACCGAAACCCGTGCACGGGCGGGTGATTGCATCCGTGGAGAATAGTCCTGGCCTTCGACGTTAAGGTTATAAACAGGCCGGTGATTACTCTTATGAATGATAAAGACGTTAACGAGTTTGAAAAAGCATTTAAATCCAAACTGCAAGGAAAAGGTCAGTAATTTTTATTCATGGATTTTGGTGAAATGATTTGAACTTGTATAAGAATAGTAATTCTTGTGAAGGGCAGAGAACAATTACCAAAATCTCAAAGGAAATAATAATTATTATGATGGAAGGAAGGGGGGTCCGTAATTGACCCTAGGTAAATAGCTATTACCAAAATAATCTAGTTAATATTGAGATTGTACGAGATACAGTCTTTACATGTAAATGTAAATGTAAATACAATATAAACAGGAAGGGGGATAATTTTCGTTGTGTGCGATGGATACATTAAACAGGTCAAAAGTCGCATAAACAACTGGGGATTTGCTCTAACTCTGTTTCATGTAACTGGAGCAGTTACGACCTCTAGGTTACAAATAGTGTTAGCAAATGATCGTATAATGTTGTATACATGTGAGACTTAATGATCCATCGAAATACGTGATAATTGTTTCAAGGGAGGAGCTAAAATAAGTCGCGTGAGAAAAAAAAATGGTTATCCGATCCCTTTCATGAAACTGGAGAAGGAAAAAAAACTCTGGGTTACGGGTTAGATAATTTAAATGGTTAATTACAAAAGCAGATCATAACATTGGCTCAAGAGACTCACTTAATAATAACTCCTAGGAAAATAATTCTGGATTGAATTATTACTAAACGGGGGGATTTCTTATTTTTCCACCATGGGAAATAAATATTCTAAAGAGGTCCGAGAATTAACGGGGGATGAAAGATATATGTTAGGAAGAGATCGAAGAAATGTGTTTTATGGATCCATTTGGGAGAAGAGGTATGGATTTATTGGGCATCTCGACGTGGAGAAGTTATAAGTTATGATTAAGCAGATGCATGTAAACTGTGGAACGGATTTGAAGAAACAGCGAGGGGAGGGGCTAGAGACAGCGAGGGTATTTTGGAAGCGCGAAGGAGAGAGGAAGTGCTTTAACTTTAACAAAGAGGAATATTTGGCAAGGGAGTTTAAGGCCCCGTGTAAATACTGTAACAGAACAGGTCATAACCATCGTGACTGCAGGGGTAAAGAAAGGAAAGGGCAGTGTCGGAGATAGGACAGTCTATTTTTTGGTTCAACGGGTAAAATGTTTGAAGAAATGATTTGTGTCGATTAAGAATTGGCTAAAAACACCACGAAGCGATTATTTGAGAGGTACCTATAAATTTCCAACGATATATACGTATTAACTTTCTCACCCAAACGTAGACGTACGTCATGAGTGAGAAAGTAGAGAATATTTACATTTGCATTTTTTGTCATTTGGCAGACGCTCTGGTCCGGAGCGACTTGCAGGAGCAGTGGGGGTTGGGTGCCTTGCTCGGGGACACATCGGCAGATTTTTCGCCTGGTCGGCTCGGGAGTTGGAGCCGGCGACCTCTCGGTTGCTGACACGGTGCTCTTGGTTACTGGGCTACCAGCCGGCCGATATGAGTTTAAGGTTGTGCCGTTGTTTGATTAGGTGATAAGGTTATGTGATAAGGTTTAATGGGTGATCGGACCATAACTAAAGTGGTTATAGAAGTAATGTATAAATAGTGGAGAGCCAATAGAGGGTTCCATTGAACTATTATGTTTTGTTGGGCATTTGAATGGCGATAGAGCTGTGAAAATTGAGTTGAGGACAAAGGACAATCATTTATGGCTCTGGTTAGCGGGAAAAAATAGAGACGGTCAAGCGAGTTAGATTGAGCTGGAAAATTTCAAGTAGAGGTCTAAAGACTTTATTGAAAGGAAGTGCTTTGATGAATTCAAAATGGTTATTACTTTATTGTATAGGTTGAGTAACACCAGTGGATGAAAATAAATGGTGGATTCTAAAAAAATAACAGCTTCTACCCCCAAGCCATAAGACTCCTGAACAGCTTCTACCCCCAAGCCATAAGACTCCTGAACAGCTTCTACCCCCAAGCCATTAGACTCCTGAACAGCTTCTACCCCCAAGCCATTAGACTGCTGAACAGCTTCTACCCCCAAGCCATAAGACTCCTGAACAGCTTCTACCCCCAAGCCATTAGACTGCTGAACAGCTTCTACCCCCAAGCCATAAGACTCCTGAACAGCTTCTACCCCCCCAAGCCATAAGACTCCTGAACAGCTTCTACCCCCCAAGCCATAAGACTCCTGAACAGCTTCTACCCCCAAGCCATAAGACTCCTGAACAGCTTCTACCCCCAAGCCATAAGACTCCTGAACAGCTAATCATGGCTACCCGGACTATTTGCACTGCCCCCCCCACCCCATCTTTTTACGCTGCTGCTACTCTGTTAATTATTTATGCATAGTCACTTTAACTCTACCCACATGTACATATTACCTCAACTACCTCAACTAGCCGGTGCCCCCGCACATTGACTCTGCACCGGTACCCCCCTGTATATATAGCCTCCCTACTGTCACTTTATTTTACTTCTGCTCTTTTTTTCTCAACACTTTGTTGTTGTTTTATTTTACTTTTTTATAAAAAAATAAATGCACTGTTGGTGAAGGGCTGTCAGTAAGCATTTCACTGTAATGTCTGCGCCTGTTGTATTCGGGGCATGTGATAAATAACATCCCAACTAGACACACTGGTCACTGACTGACATTTCAGACAACTAGTGATCTGGGACCAGTTATCTCAACTAGTGATCTGGGACCAGTTATCTCAACTAGTGATCTGGGACCAGTTATCTCAACTAGTGATCTGGGACCAGTTATCTCAACTAGTGATCTGGGACCAGTTATCTCAACTAGTGATCTGGGACCAGTTATCTCAACTAGTGATCTGGGACCAGTTATCTCAACTAGTGATCTGGGACCAGTTATCTCAACTAGTGATCTGGGACCAGTTATCTCAACTAGTGATCTGGGACCAGTTATCTCAACTAGTGATCTGGGACCAGTTATCTCAACTAGTGATCTGGGACCAGTTATCTCAACTAGTGATCTGGGACCAGTTATCTCAACTAGTCTCTGGTTCACAAACCTGGAGGGACAGGAACAGGTCAGTAACGTCACAGTCCTCAGACTAAACAACCTCCCCAGCCCCACTGCTGAATGTCTAACGTAGTTGGTTTGGTGAACCATGCTCTTGCCTGAGATCTGAAAACTTGCATTTCCTTCCCAAGCTAATGCCTAGGCTTTAGCCCAGCGGGCTAACACCGCCTTGTGAAAGGCAGATCGATCCAGGTACAAGCCCAGTGAGTCTAATAGACGTACCTGTTGTTTGGTGGTGAGGTTGAGGTCTATCCAGGAGACGCCCCTACCACCTCCAGACACTGACAGACCACAGACAGACCACAGACAGACTGACCACAGACAGACAGACAGACACAGACCACAGACAGACAGACAGACCACAGACAGACCACAGACAGACCACAGACAGACCAGACAGACCACAGACAGACCAGACAGACCACAGACAGACAGACTGACCACAGACAGACTGACCACAGACAGACAGACAGACTGACCACAGACAGACTACAGACAGACAGACCACAGACAGACAGACTGACCACAGACAGACAGACGTACCTGTCGTTGGCGATGAGGTTGAGGTCTATCCAGGAGACGTATGCCCCTACCACCTCCAGACACTGACAGGTGATCTCAGGGTGAGACTGCTGATAAGCCCCGAGGATCTGGTACCAGGACTCAACCAGGCTGGGGATGACCTGCTCCCTCATTCCATCCTTTATTAAGGTGTTCCTACGCACCTCCTAGAGGGGGACAGAGAGGAAGGAGGGGGACAGAGGAGAGGGGACAGAGAGGAGGAGGGGGACAGAGAGGAGGAGGGGGACAGAGAGGAGGAGGGGGACAGAGAGGAGGAGGGGGACAGAGAGGAGGGGGGAGTTAGACGCTGGGGATGACCTGCTCCCTCAATGGGGGGGTAAGTATCTCTCTATCTACCACCTCAGTGTCCCCTTACCTCAGGTGAGTGCAGGATATCTCTGTCCACCACCTCAGCGTCGATAGCCATCAGTGTTCTGAGGTAGACGTCAACCCCGTGTGGGTTCAGACCCACTAGAGACAGGATATCATAGAAGAACTTGGGCCAGTGGGTCAGGAACTCCATCACGAAGGTCAGAGCAAACACCTGGGCTGCCTTGTTACGGATGAACGGCTTCTCTGGCTGGGAGTTCATTAACTGGAGAGGAGGAAGAGGAAGGAGGGGGGAAGAGGAAGGAGGAAGGAAGAAGAGGAAGGAGAAGGAAGGAGGAGGAGGAAGGAAGAAGAGGAAGGAGGAGGGGAAGTAGAAGGCGAGGAGGAGGGGAAGGAGGAGGAAGAAGAGGAGGAGGAGGAAGAAGGAAGAAGAGGAAGGAGGAAGAGGAAGGAGGAAGGAAAAAGGAGGGGAAGAGGAAGGAGGAAGAGGAGGACAGTTTATTGAAATTAATTAAATTACAATTATTTTCTATTACAATTTTTTAACTCAGGTGTGGAAGAGAGCCAACTTCATGAGTGAATAAAAATGTGTAACCAACGAAAGCGCAAGTAATAGATTGTGGGGTGGTGGTGATGAAATGTGATATGTTGATGTGACAAGTTGACTAAGTTCCAGGCGGAGAAGCAGAGCCCCACCTGACACTGCAGCCATTTCATCAGGGTTTCTCTAATCAGCTGTTGCTGGGCAGCACTGAGACATCCATGTCTGGGACAGAACACAGAACAAACACAATGTCACTTTCAGACTCATTCATAGAGGAATCCTGCTGAGAGACAGATATACATGGTCTCAGACTCATTCATAGAGGAATCCTGCTGAGAGACAGATATACATGGTCTCAGACTCATTCATAGAGGAATCCTGCTGAGAGACAGATATACATGGTTTCAGACTCATTCATAGAGGAATCCTGCTGAGAGACAGATATACATGGTTTCAGACTCATTCATAGAGGAATCCTGCTGAGAGACAGATATACATGGTCTCAGACTCATTCATAGAGGAATCCTGCTGAGAGACAGATATACACGGTTTCAGACTCATTCATAGAGGAATCCTGCTGAGAGACAGATATACATGGTCTCAGACTCATTCATAGAGGAATCCTGCTGAGAGACAGATATACATGGTTTCAGACTCATTCATAGAGGAATCCTGCTGAGAGACAGATATACACGGTTTCAGACTCATTCATAGAGGAATCCTGCTGAGAGACAGATATACATGGTTTCAGACTCATTCATAGAGGAATCCTGCTGAGAGACAGATATACATGGTTTCAGACTCATTCATAGAGGAATCCTACTGAGAGACAGATATACACGGTTTCAGACTCATTCATAGAGGAATCCTGCTGAGAGACAGATATACACGGTTTCAGACTCATTCATAGAGGAATCCTGCTGAGAGACAGATATACACGGTTTCAGACTCATTCATAGAGGAATCCTGCTGAGAGACAGATATACACGGTTTCAGACTCATTCATAGAGGAATCCTGCTGAGAGACAGATATACATGGTCTCAGACTCATTCATAGAGGAATCCTGCTGAGAGACAGATATACACGTTTCAGACTCATTCATAGAGGAATCCTGCTGAGAGACAGATATACACGGTTTCAGACTCATTCATAGAGGAATCCTGCTGAGAGACAGATATACATGGTTTCAGACTCATTCATAGAGGAATCCTGCTGAGAGACAGATATACATGGTTTCAGACTCATTCATAGAGGAATCCTGCTGAGAGACAGATATACATGGTTTCAGACTCATTCATAGAGGAATCCTGCTGAGAGACAGATATACATGGTCTCAGACTCATTCATAGAGGAATCCTGCTGAGAGACAGATATACATGGTTTCAGACTCATTCATAGAGGAATCCTGCTGAGAGACAGATATACATGGTCTCAGACTCATTCATAGAGGAATCCTGCTGAGAGACAGATATACATGGTCTCAGACTCATTCATAGAGGAATCCTGCTGAGAGACAGATATACATGGTTTCAGACTCATTCATAGAGGAATCCTGCTGAGAGACAGATATACATGGTCTCAGACTCATTCATAGAGGAATCCTGCTGAGAGACAGATATACATGGTTTCAGACTCATTCATAGAGGAATCCTGCTGAGAGACAGATATACATGGTCTCAGACTCATTCATAGAGGAATCCTGCTGAGAGACAGATATACATGGTTTCAGACTCATTCATAGAGGAATCCTGCTGAGAGACAGATATACATGGTCTCAGACTCATTCATAGAGGAATCCTGCTGAGAGACAGATATACATGGTCTCAGACTCATTCATAGAGGAATCCTGCTGAGAGACAGATATACACGGTTTCAGACTCATTCATAGAGGAATCCTGCTGAGAGACAGATATACATGGTTTCAGACTCATTCATAGAGGAATCCTGCTGAGAGACAGATATACATGGTTTCAGACTCATTCATAGAGGAATCCTGCTGAGAGACAGATATACATGGTTTCAGACTCATTCATAGAGGAATCCTGCTGAGAGACAGATATACATGGTTTCAGACTCATTCATAGAGGAATCCTGCTGAGAGACAGATATATATGGTTTCATTCAGATTTCAGTAAGAAAGGCATGAGCAAAGTTACAGCATTATCTGTCATCTGGAGCCAATGGGATTGGAGGAACAGTCAACCTATCATCACCTCCTTCCTGATCCATTATCTACCAGACCAGAGGCAGGATGACAGCTAATCCATTATCTACCAGACCAGAGGCAGGATGACAGCTAATCCATTATCTACCAGACCAGAGGCAGGATGACAGCTAATCCATTATCTACCAGACCGGACCAGAGGCAGGATGACAGCTAATCCATTATCTACCAGACCGGACCAGAGGCAGGATGACAGCTAATCCATTATCTACCAGACCAGAGGCAGGATGACAGCTAATCCATTATCTACCAGACCAGAGGCAGGATGACAGCTAATCCATTATCTACCAGACCAGAGGCAGGATGACAGCTGATCCATTATCTACCAGACCAGAGGCAGGATGACAGCTAATCCATTATCTACCAGACCAGAGGCAGGATGACAGCTAATCCATTATCTACCAGACCAGAGGCAGGATGACAGCTAATCCATTATCTACCAGACCAGAGGCAGGATGACAGCTAATCCATTATCTACCAGACCAGAGGCAGGATGACAGCTGATCCATTATCTACCAGACCAGAGGCAGGATGACAGCTAATCCATTATCTACCAGACCAGAGGCAGGATGACAGCTAATCCATTATCTACCAGACCAGAGGCAGGATGACAGCTAATCCATTATCTACCAGACCAGAGGCAGGATGACAGCTAATCCATTATCTACCAGACCAGAGGCAGGATGACAGCTGATCCATTATCTACCAGACCAGAGGCAGGATGACATCTGATTCATTATCTACCAGACCAGAGGCAGGATGACAGCTGATCCATTATCTACCAGACCAGAGGCAGGATGACAGCTAATCCATTATCTACCAGACAGGACCAGAGGCAGGATGACAGCTGATCCATTATCTACCAGACCAGAGGCAGGATGACAGCTAATCCATTATCTACCAGACCAGAGGCAGGATGACAGCTAATCCATTATCTACCAGACAGGACCAGAGGCAGGATGACAGCTAATCCATTATCTACCAGACCAGAGGCAGGATGACAGCTAATCCATTATCTACCAGACAGGACCAGAGGCAGGATGACAGCTGATCCATTATCTACCAGACAGGACCAGAGGCAGGATGACAGCTGATCCATTATCTACCAGACCAGAGGCAGGATGACAGCTGATCCATTATCTACCAGACCAGAGGCAGGATGACAGCTGATCCATTATCTACCAGACCGGACCAGAGGCAGGATGACAGCTAATCCATTATCTACCAGACCAGAGGCAGGATGACAGCTAATCCATTATCTACCAGACCAGAGGCAGGATGACAGCTAATCCATTATCTACCAGACCAGAGGCAGGATGACAGCTAATCCATTATCTACCAGACCAGAGGCAGGATGACAGCTGATCCATTATCTACCAGACCGGACCAGAGGCAGGATGACAGCTAATCCATTATCTACCAGACCAGAGGCAGGATGACAGCTAATCCATTATCTACCAGACCAGACGCAGGATGACAGCTGATCCATTATCTACCAGACAGGACCAGAGGCAGGATGACAGCTAATCCATTATCTACCAGACCAGAGGCAGGATGACAGCTAATCCATTATCTACCAGACCAGAGGCAGGATGACAGCTAATCCATTATCTACCAGACAGGACCAGAGGCAGGATGACAGCTAATCCATTATCTACCAGACAGGACCAGAGGCAGGATGACAGCTAATCCATTATCTACCAGACAGGACCAGAGGCAGGATGACAGCTAATCCATTATCTACCAGACAGGACCAGAGGCAGGATGACAGCTAATCCATTATCTACCAGACCAGAGGCAGGATGACAGCTGGCAGAGGTACTGCCCCTCCCCTCCCCTCTCCTCTCCTCTCCTCTCCTCTCCCCACCTCTCCTCCCCTCCCCTCTCACCTGTACTTGATCTGGTGCTCCAGGACTTGGAAACAGAAGAACTTCACATGGTCGTCACTGAGAGAGGGATAAACACAGTTATTACAATACATCCAACAGGGAGGCCAGAGTCCAGAGAGAGACCAACAGGGAGACCAACAGGGAGACCAGAGTCCAGAGAGAGACCAACAGGGAGGCCAACAGGGAGACCAACAGGGATACCAGAGTCCAGAGAGAGACCAACAGGGAGACCAGAGTCCAGAGAGAGACCAACAGGGAGGCCAACAGGGAGACCAGAGTCCAGAGAGAAACCAACAGGGAGACCAGAGTCCAGAGAGAGACAAACAAGGAGATCAACAGAGAGACCAGTCCAGAGAGAGACCAGTCCAGAGAGAGACCAACAGGGAGACCAGAGTCCAGAGAGAAACCAACAGGGAGCCCAGAGAGAAACCAACAGGGAGCCCAGAGTCCAGAGAGAGACCAACAGAGAGACCAGAGTCCAGAGAGAGACCAACAGGGAGACCAACAGAGAGACCAGAGAGAAACCAACAGGGAGACCAACAGGGAGACCAGAGTCCAGAGAGAGACCTACAGGGAGACCAACAGGGAGACCAGAGTCCAGAGAGAGACCAACAAAGAGACCAACAAAGAGACCAACAGGGAGACCAGAGTCCAGAGAGAGACCTACAGGGAGACCAACAGGGAGACCAGAGTCCAGAGAGAGACCAACAAAGAGACCAACAGGGAGACCAGAGTCCAGAGAGAGACCTACAGGGAGGCCAACAGGGAGACCAACAGGGAGACCAGAGTCCAGAGAGAGACCTACAGGGAGGCCAACAGGGAGACCAACAGGGAGACCAGAGTCCAGAGAGAGACCAACAGGGAGACCAGAGTCCAGAGAGAGACAAACAAGGAGACCAACAGAGAGACCAGTCCAGAGAGAGACCAACAGGGAGACCAGAGTCCAGAGAGAGACCTACAGGGAGGCCAACAGGGAGACCAGAGTCCAGAGAGAGACCTACAGGGAGGCCAACAGGGAGACCAGAGTCCAGAGAGAGACAAACAAGGAGATCAACAGAGAGACCAGTCCAGAGAGAGACCAGTCCAGAGAGAGACCAACAGGGAGACCAGAGTCCAGAGAGAAACCAACAGGGAGCCCAGAGAGAAACCAACAGGGAGCCCAGAGTCCAGAGAGAGACCAACAAGGAGACCAACAGAGAGACCAGTCCAGAGAGAGACCAGTCCAGAGAGAAACCAACAGGGAGCCCAGAGAGAAACCAACAGGGAGCCCAGAGTCCAGAGAGAGACCAACAAGGAGACCAACAGAGAGACCAGAGTCCAGAGAGAGACCAACAAGGAGACCAACAGAGAGACCAGAGAGAAACCAACAGGGAGACCAACAGGGAGACCAGAGTCCAGAGAGAGACCTACAGGGAGACCAGAGTCCAGAGACAGACCAACAAAGAGACCAACAAAGAGACCAACAGGGAGACCAGAGTCCAGAGAGAGACCTACAGGGAGACCAGAGTCCAGAGAGAGACCAACAAAGAGACCAACAGGGAGACCAGAGTCCAGAGAGAGACCTACAGGGAGGCCAACAGGGAGACCAGAGTCCAGAGAGAGACCAACAGGGAGACCAGAGTCCAGAGAGAGACAAACAAGGAGACCAACAGAGAGACCAGTCCAGAGAGAGACCAACAGGGAGACCAGAGTCCAGAGAGAGACCTACAGGGAGGCCAACAGGGAGGCCAACAGGGAGACCAGAGTCCAGAGAGAGACCTACAGGGAGGCCAACAGGGAGACCAGAGTCCAGAGAGAGACCAACAGGGAGACCAGAGTCCAGAGAGAGACAAACAAGGAGACCAACAGAGAGACCAGTCCAGAGAGAGACCAACAGGGAGACCAGTGTCCAGAGAGAGACCAACAGGGAGACCAGAGTCCAGAGAGAAACCAACAGGGAGACCAACAGAGAGACCAACAGGGACACCAGAGTCCAGAGAGAGACCAACAAGGAGACCAACAGAGAGACCAGAGTCCAGAGAGACCAACAGGGAGACCAACAGGGACACCAGAGTCCAGAGAGAGACCAACAAGGAGACCAACAGAGAGACCAGAGTCCAGAGAGAAACCAACAGGGAGACCAACAGGGAGACCAGAGTCCAGAGAGAGACCAACAAGGAGACCAACAAAGAGACCAACAGGGAGACCAGAGTCCAGAGAGACCAACAGGGAGACCAGAGTCCAGAGAGAGACCAACAGGGAGACCAGAGTCCAGAGAGACCAACAGGGAGACCAGAGTCCAGAGAGAGACCAACAGGGAGACCAGAGAGAAACCAACAGGGAGCCCAGAGAGAAACCAACAGCGAGACCAGAGTCCAGAGAGAGACCAACAGGGAGACCAAGCAGTAGAACAGAGTCCAGAGAGAGACCAACAAAGAGAGAACAGGTTGGAATCTGTGCGACCAGTGATGGAACACTCAACCTACCAGGTGTGATTAGAAGGATACTGTACCGTCTCAACTAGTGAGTCTCACCTGTAAATGCCTTTAGCCAGGGCCTCTGCACACACCTCCCAGGCATCCTGGGACTCCTTCAACTGCTCAAAATACACCATCGCCTGAGGAGAGGGGGAGAGAGAGAGGGGGAGAGAGAGAGAGAGAGAAACAAGAGTTAGAAAAGGGAGAAAGAGAAAGAGAGAGAGCTTCTGAATCTGACACATATCTACCACATTCTGCAGCCACCCACACAACCCCTCCTGCTGACAGCGGACAGTGACTATGTTGGCAGGCTGTCTGCCTCAAGGACACAGAGTTGGTGTGGGTATTTATTTGGGACATAAATATTATTATTTTTTTTATCTAGACAAGTATTTCTGACGTGCAGGTGTACATCTGAAAAAGCATCCCAAAAAAGACAGCAGAACAGCAGTCGTGGTGATCCCTGGTTGGAAGCCTTGTGTTCCACAGCAGAACAGCAGTCGTGGTGATCCCTGGTTGGAAGCCTTGTGTTCCACAGCAGAACAGCAGTCGTGGTGTTCCCTGGTTGGAAGCCTTGTGTTCCACAACAGAACAGCAGTCGTGGTGATCCCTGGTTGGAAGCCTTGTGTTCCACAACAGAACAGCAGTCGTGGTGATCCCTGGTTGGAAGCCTTGTGTTCCACAGCAGAACAGCAGTCGTGGTGATCCCTGGTTGGAAGCCTTGTGTTCCACAGCAGAACAGCAGTCGTGGTGATCCCTGGTTGGAAGCCTTGTGTTCCACAGCAGAACAGCAGTCGTGGTGATCCCTGGTTGGAAGCCTTGTGTTCCACAACAGAACAGCAGTCGTGGTGATCCCTGGTTGGAAGCCTTGTGTTCCACAGCAGAACAGCAGTCGTGGTGATCCCTGGTTGGAAGCCTTGTGTTCCACAGCAGAACAGCAGTCGTGGTGATCCCTGGTTGGAAGCCTTGTGTTCCACAGCAGAACAGCAGTCGTGGTGATCCCTGGTTGGAAGCCTTGTGTTCCACAACAGAACAGCAGTCGTGGTGATCCCTGGGTGGAAGCCTTGTGTTCCACAACAGAACAGCAGTCGTGGTGATCCCTGGTTGGAAGCCTTGTGTTCCACAGCAGAACAGCAGTCGTGGTGATCCCTGGTTGGAAGCCTTGTGTTCCACAGCAGAACAGCAGTCGTGGTGATCCCTGGTTGGAAGCCTTGTGTTCCACAACAGAACAGCAGTCGTGGTGATCCCTGGTTGGAAGCCTTGTGTTCCACAGCAGAACAGCAGTCGTGGTGATCCCTGGTTGGAAGCCTTGTGTTCCACAGCAGAACAGCAGTCGTGGTGATCCCTGGTTGGAAGCCTTGTGTTCCACAGCAGAACAGCAGTCGTGGTGATCCCTGGTTGGAAGCCTTGTGTTCCACAGCAGAACAGCAGTCGTGGTGATCCCTGGTTGGAAGCCTTGTGTTCCACAACAGAACAGCAGTCGTGGTGATCCCTGGTTGGAAGCCTTTGCCTTCAATTTAATAGCCTTCAGCTATTGCTGTTGTATGACTGTGTATATAGAGATCTAGGTCCGTAGTGAACCGCTCTAACCCACGCCCTGATGTCCTGAGGGGTACTGGTCTCTGTAAACAGCACAAGTTACAACAACTTAAAATGTGGAGAGAGAACTTGTCATATACTATGGATGGAGAGTGTGACGTGACAGAGCACTGGTTCAGACAGAGCAAGAAGAACCTTTCAGATCTGATTAAACGAGGTTGATTACTTTCAAGTCCAGTCTATGGCTCTGAATCATTTCCAGGAGCCAATGCGTTTAGGATCAAGTCCACATGGGTCTGAGAATCATTTCCAGGAGCCAATGCGTTTAGGATCAAGTCCACATGGGTCTGAGAATCATTTCCTGGAGCCAATGCGTTTAGGATCAAGTCCACATGGATCTGAGAATCATTTCCAGGAGCCAATGCGTTTAGGATCAAGTCCACATGGGTCTGAGAATCATTTCCAGGAGCCAATGCGTTTAGGATCAAGTCCACATGGGTCTGAGAATCATTTCCAGGAGCCAATGCGTTTGGATCAAGTCCGCATGGGTCTGAGAATCATTTCCAGGAGCCAATGCGTTTGGATCAAGTCTACATGGGTCTGAGAATCATTTCCAGGAGCCAATGCGTTTGGATCAAGTCTACATGGGTCTGAGAATCATTTCCAGGAGCCAATGGGTTTGGATCAAGTCTACATGGGCTCCGGAGTGGCGCAGCGGTCTAAGGCACTGCATCTCAGTGCTTGAGGCGTCACTACAGACCCCCTGGTTCGATTCCAGGCTGTATCACAACCGGCCGTGATTGGGAGTCCCATAGGGCGGCGCACAATTGGCCCAGCGTCGTCCGGGTTTGGCCGGTGTAGGCCGTCATTGTAAATAAGAATTTGTTCTTAACTGACTTGCCTAGTTAAATAAAGGTTTAAAAAAAAAAAAAAAAAGAAACATGAGTCTAAGAATCATTTCCAGGACCCAATGCGTTTAGGATCCGCAAGAGTTGTCATCTAGGAGCACATGAATGAACTGCACACACACAGTGTAATGAGACCTACCTTCTGCCTATAGCAGGCGTCTGCACACAGTGTAATGAGACCTACCTTCTGCCTATAGCAGGCGTCTGCGTTTGGGTTGAGCCCCAGCAGGGCCTGCTCGTCCATGTTGATGATGGAGACAGACTGGCAGGCCATGAGAGGGTGAGCTGCTACTCCTCTCCTCCGTAGTTTCACTGTCTTCTGCTGCTGCTACTGGCAGGCCATGAGAGGGTGAGCTGCTACTCCTCTCCTCCGTAGTTTCACTGTCTGCTGCTACTGGCAGGCCATGAGGGGGTGAGCTGCTACTCCTCTCCGCTGTAGATTCACTGTCTGCTGCTACTGGCAGGCCATGAGGGGGTGAGCTGCTACTCCTCTCCTCCGTAGTTTCACTGTCTGCTGCTACTGGCAGGCCATGAGAGGGTGAGCTGCTACTCCTCTCCTCCGTAGTTTCACTGTCTGCTGCTACTGGCAGGCCATGAGAGGGTGAGCTGCTACTCCTCTCCGCTGTAGATTCACTGTCTTCTGCTGCTGCTGCCCTCCAGCAGGCCATGAGGGGGTGAGCTGCTACTCCTCTCCTCCGTAGTTTCACTGTCTTCTGCTGCTGCTGCCCTCCAGCAGGCCAAGCACATCTACAATAACAACAACAACAACAATAATAATTAGGGCTGGGAATCGTCAAGGGACCTCACCATACCATATTATCACCATACTTAGTTGCCAATACGATGTGTATTGCGATTCTCACGACTCTATATGTATTGCGATTCTATATGTACTGCGATTTGATGTTCCAAATATATTGCTCACCATACACTGGCTTGCGAAATTATTCACCCCCCCTTTGGCATTTTTCCTATTTTATTGCCTTACAACCTGGAAATAAAATATAGTTTTTGGGGGGTTTGTATCATTTGATTTACACAACATGCCTACCACTTTGAAGATGCAAAATATTTTTTCATTGTGAAACAAACAAGAAATAAGACAAAAAAAAACTGAAAACTTGATCAAAGTTTCTGATATTTTTTTAGAACCCAACCCTGATCTGTACTTCTCCACAACTTTGTCCCTGACCTGTTTGGAGAGCTCCTTGGTCTTCATGGTGTCGCTTGCTTGTTGGTGCCCCTTGCTTAGTGGTGTTGCAGACTCTGGGGCCTTTCAGAACAGGTGTATATATACTGAGATCATGTGACACTTAGATTGCACACAGGTGGAATTTATTTAACTAATTATGTGACTTCTGAAGGTAATTGGTTGCACCAGATCTTATTTAGGGGCTTCATAGCAAAGGGGGTGAATACATATGCACGCACCACGACCATCACCTCGATTTTTTTTAAACAAGTTACTTTTTTCATTTCAATTCACCAATTTATTTTGTGTTTGTCCATTACATTAAATAAAAATCCATTTAAATTACAGGTTGTAATGCAACAAAATAGGAAAAACACTGTCTGCTGCAGAGCGACAAGAAGGAGCCATGAGAAAATACGGTTTTTATTTATTTATTTTTTAATTATTATTTGTTGGTACTTTTACCCCTTTTTCTCCCCAATTTCAGGAGAGGGGCGACCCTGCCAAGCCGCACTGCTTCTTGACACACTGCTCGCTTAACCCGGAAGCCAGCCGCACCAATGTGTCGGAGGAAACACCGTCCAGCTGGCGACCAAAGCCAGCTTGCAGGCGCCCGGCCCGCCACAAGGAGTCGCTAGAGCGCGATGGGACACGGAAATCATGGGTCTCCCGGTCATGGCCGGCTGTGACACAGCCTGGGATCGAACCCGGGTCTGTAGTGACGCCTCAAGCACTGCGATGCAGCGCCTTAGAACGCTGCACTCGGGAGGCCCAAGAAAACAAGTTTTGATCAGTCATGGAAATAAAATAAAAAGTGCTGAAAACAAATTGGCTCCCTATTTAAAAAGAAGACAGAGAACAAGCTATGGAGGAAACATACTGGAGGTTTGGTTCAGGTATAGCCAACTAACGCAAAAATAATATTGCGATATTGTCAAAACGATACATCGTCAAAAATAATATCCCTATATGGAACGACACATTCCCCCCCCCCCCATCTCTAATAATAATAATATTTGAAAGTCTGCGAGATAATTTACTGAATACTGTTATGGATTCACACACACACACACACACACACACACGTTACACACAATAACAACACACAAGGATGAAGGATGATGATGTGGAAATCTGCCAGATTTGAAACCCATTGTAATCTATGGAATGCATTCACATACACCTGTTAACCAAATAGCTAAAGAAAAATGGACAACTTACATAACCACTGTAACATTTACACTTTATAGAGCTAGTGTACACTTCTTAGCATAGAGCTAGCGTACACTTCTTAGCATAGAGCTAGCGTACACTTCTTAGTATAGAGCTAGCGTACACTTCTTAGCATAGAGCTAGCGTACACTTCTTAGCATAGAGCTAGCGTACACTTCTTAGCATAGAGCTAGCGTCTTAGTATAGAGCTAGCGTACACTTCTTAGCATAGAGCTAGCGTACACTTCTTAGTATAGAGCTAGCGTACACTTCTTAGCATAGAGCTAGCGTACACTTCTTAGTATAGAGCTAGCGTACACTTCTTAGTATAGAGCTAGCGTACACTTCTTAGCATAGAGCTAGCGTACACTTCTTAGTATAGAGCTAGCGTACACTTCTTAGTATAGAGCTAGCGTACACTTCTTAGTATAGAGCTAGCGTACACTTCTTAGTATAGAGCTAGCGTACACTTCTTAGTATAGAGCTAGCGTACACTTCTTAGTATAGAGCTAGCGTACACGTCTTAGCATAGAGCTAGCGTACACTTCTTAGCATAGAGCTAGCGTACACTTCTTAGCATAGAGCTAGCGTACACTTCTTAGCATAGAGCTAGCGTACACTTCTTAGCATAGAGCTAGCGTACACTTCTTAGCATAGAGCTAGCGTACACGTCTTAGCATAGAGCTAGCGTACACGTCTTAGTATAGAGCTAGCGTACACTTCTTAGTATAGAGCTAGCGTACACTTCTTAGCATAGAGCTAGCGTACACTTCTTAGCATAGAGCTAGCGTACACTTCTTAGTATAGAGCTAGCGTACCCTTCTTAGCTAGTGGTGCTGTTGAGTTTTTTTTTTTTTTTTGTCATTTAGCAGACGCTCTTATCCAGAGCGACTTACAGTTAGTGAGTGCACACATTTTTTCTTCTTCCATACTGGCCCCCCATGGGAATCGAACCCACAACCCTGGCGTTGCAAGCGCCATGCTCTACCAACTGAGCTACACGGGACTTGTGTGATTGTTTCATTGACTCAGTGGCAGCTGACCAGCATGCCCAGGACAGGTGAACAACAGTAGCTAGCTAGCACAGCAGTGTAGTGACCTGCATGGCACTGTGAGTGTCAGTGTGTGTGTGGCTAATATTGTTTGTCTGACACACACAGAGTAACGCTGAGTCAACACAAACATAGAGGTGTTGATGGGAGGGCCAGACAGACCCTGTAACTGGCCTCTCCCCTCTACATAATAAACACAGGTGTACAGCAGTAGTTATATAGGATGAGCCGTGACTATAATACAGTATATACACATGAAGTGGACAGCAGTAGAAATATAGGATGAGCCCTGACTATAATACAGTATACATATATAAAGTGGGTAAAACAGTCTGGAAACATTATTACAGTGACCAGTGTTCCATGTCTATGTACATAGGGCAGCAGTCTCTAAGGTGCAGAGTAGAGTGGGAGGTGGCTAGTAACAGTGACTAAAGTTCAGGGCAGAGTACTGGGCGGTGACTAACAGGTGGCCTGGAGATAGAAGCTGTTATTCAGTCTCTCTGTCCCAGCTTTGATGCACATGTACTGTCTCTGCCTTCTAGATGGTAGAGGGGTGGAACAGGCCGTGGTTCGGGTGGCTGAGGTCCATGATGATCTTCTTGGCCTTTCCCGTGACACCGGGTGCTGTAGATGTCCTGGATGGCAGGGAGTGTGCTCGCGGTGATGCGTTGGGATGACCGCACCACCTTCTGGAGAGCCCTGCGGTTGCGGACGGTGCAGTTGCCGTACCAGGCGGTGATACAGCCCGACAGGATGCTCTCAATGGTGCATCTGTAAAAAGTATGTGATGGTCTTGTGGGCCAGGCTCAGGAGGCTCTGTTGCACCTTCTTCACCACACGGTCTGTGTGAATGGATTTCGTGTAGCTCAGTTGGTAGAGCATGGCGCTTTGCAACGCCAGGGTTGTGGGTTCGATTCACACGGGGGGGGGGGGCCGGTATAAAAAATGTATGTACTCACTAACTGTAAGTCACTCTGGATAAGAGCGTCTGCTAAATGACTAAAATGTAAATGTGCACGCTGAGGAACTTGAAGCTTTTCACCCTCTCCATTGTGGTCCCATCGATGTGGATGGGGGCGTGCTCTCTCTGCGGTCTCCTGAAGTCCACGATCAGCTCCTTCGTTTTGTTGACGTTGAGGGAGAGGTTATTTTCCTGGCACCACTCCGCCAGAGCCCTCACCTCCTCCCTGTAGGCTGTCTTGTCGTTGTTGGTAATCAGGCCTACCACCGTTGTGTCGTCAGCAAACTTGATGATTGAATTGGAGACATGCATGACCACGCAGTCATGGGTGAACAGGGAGTACAGGAGGGGGCTGAGCACGCACTCTTGTGGGGCCCCCCATGTTGAGGATCAGCGTAGCGGAGGTGTTGTTGCCTACCTTTACCACCTGGGGGCGGCCCGTCAGGAAGTCCAGGACCCAGTTGCACACGGCGGGGTTCAGACCCAGGACCCAGAGCTCAGTGATGAGCTTGGAGGGCACTATGGTGTTGAAAGCTGAGCTGCAGTCGATGGAACAGCATTCTCACATAGGTATTCATCTTGACCAGATGGGATTGGGCAGTGTGCATGTGACAGCGATTGAGTCATCTGTTGGGGCGGTATGCAAATTGCAGTGGGTCTAGGGGGTATGGTGGAGGTGACGTGATCCTTAACTAGACTCTCAAAGCACTTCATGATGACAGAAGCGAGTGCTATGGGGCTTTGGTCATTTAGTTCAGTTACTTTCGCTTTCTTGGGTACAGGAACAATTGTGGATATCTTGAAGCAAGTAGGGGTATGGATAGGGAGAGATTGAATATGTCCGTAAACACTCCAGCCAGCTGGTCTGCACATGCTCTGAGGACGCGGGATGCCGTCTGGGGCAGGCAGCCTTGCGAGGACTAATAGGCTATTTTGACCTAGTTGCCTGTTTCCCTAATATTGACTAACGTTAGCTAGTTAGCTCGCTAGCGGCTGGACAGTGGCACCGAAATACCGACTGGACATCTGTGTGTCTGGCTAGCCACTCCTCACAAAAAGTTGGGGGACACTACAGTGAGTGCTGACTCGGTCGCATAACGTTAGCTGGATAGCTAGCTAGCTTCGCTTAACTAAACAAGGTATCAACGATAAATACAGGTTTTATACTTGTATTATCAAAAAAGGGGGCTTTAGTTCGGGAATAAGTTCGATAAAGGGCTCACGTCACAACATCAAATTAGCTAGCTACGCCGACTGTTTTTCCTAGCGCATCAACAGCAGGCTTTTGCTTCAGCCCCTCACATTGCGAGGCCCGTTCAGCAAAGTAAATTCAGAAGTAAACCGATATTTATGATATCTCACCTTATCGCTAACTTTATCTCATCGTCTCACCGTCCGTCGGTACATCCCAAATGGTCAGGAATTCTCCAGAAAAGCACTTCTAGTTTGGCTGTTTAACTCGGCGAAAGGGTACAGAGCAGGAGTTTCTTTCAGTCGATTTCTTACAGCGTGTCGATTAAAACGGAAATGGGGAACGTCACATCTTCGTTGGGTCACGACCACAGGAAGAAGTTCTCCCACAAAATATTTTATTTTTTCAATAAAACGTTAAAACCTTAATTTTCTTCATGACAAGTCTGCGGCTAGCTATATATTTTGGGAATCCCTCTTCTGATAACAATTCCAGAAATGCTTTGAAAGGGAACACTTGACTACTCTCACAGATTGATTAGATAAATCTAATTGATTAGATATGAGGTGGTTGCACTCCTCCTCCTCTCTGATACAGCCAAAGATTGACCGTCGTTGACCATGTCAAAGATACTGCTAAAATCATAGCTAAAATATAAATAAACGTTAATAAACGATTTTTAATTAGGTTATTAATTTTTTTAAATATATATATTGTAAAGTGGTTGGTCCCACTGGCTATCATAAGGTGAATGCACCAATTTGTAAGTCGCTCTGGATAAAAGACGAAAATGTAAATGTCGAAAAATGTTATTACTGCTTAATAAAGAGCTGTTTGATGGCGAGCCAATCAGAGGAGTGAAAATGATTTGATCCCGCCCCTTTTGTAGTTGACGTGCGGAAGTCTCCGCCCTACTACTTCCTCTTTCCCAGTTCGCAGTCAGCGAGAGACACCATGAAGGCGTCCGGCACAGTATGTAAAGTTGTTTATTACACGTTTTTAAGTCGCAGAAAGACAGATATATCGACAGATTTGAGTACATACCGTTACAGTCGTTTGATTTATGTAGTCGCATCACGCTAAGTCGATATAAATAGTTCGATTTTTCGGCTTTTATAAAACCGAAGTCTCCGCGGCGGTAACATGGCGTCCACGTTTGCGATTTTGGACCATGTGGGCCGATAAGAGAAACAGTGCAGCTAGCTAGGAAAAATATGTTGCAGCAGTGAACGAAACAAATTTACCCGTCTATGTATTCAGCCACCTTTCTCAAAACAATTTGTCTTCTGTACACGTCTTCCCAAAGTGTGTTGAAATGCCCGTGAAGTGCTAGCTAACATGTATCTAATAGCCTAAATTGCTAACGTTAGTAAGCTAGTTGCAATATACCTGCCCGGGCACAGGCCACGAACGCTAGCGGGCTAACTTGGCCAGTTAGCTAGTACAAATACACATCTCATAGCTAATTATCCTCTCCAGAAACATGTTCGCTGCCATCCTGTTGTCAATCCTGAAACGAGTAGCTGGTTTGTTATCTAAAAGTAGTAGGCGTTTGCAACGCCAGGGTTGTGGGTTCGATTCCCACGGGGGGCCAGTATTAAAAAAAAAACTAAGTCGTTCTGGATAAGAGCGTCTGCTAAATGACTAAAATGTAAAATGTAGTTGGCTATAAGTAACTAGTGTCATTCAGAACTGTAAAATATCTAAGTTAACAGGCTAAGATTGGCTGGCTACCTAGCGAAAGGGATTGGTCCTGGTACATGAAGCAAACGTAATGTCGACATCCTTGCAGTTGACTGTAGGAAATGTCATGCATTGTATTAACATTTATTTTACCAATTTTTTTCTAGTTAGATTTATGAATTGCAATGCATCCTAACCCAAAGGCCATATCAAATAAAGGGTATGATCTTGTCAGGTGTGCTAAAATCAACATGATGTACCTTGTCGCCTTTCTCTGATGCTGATGTGCCGTTGAAAGTGAATCCAAGGTTCAACATTTTAATACATATTCGCTATATATTTGTCTTATCCAGTATCCTTCATAGTCAAAGTTAACAACTGGTATATTTGGCCAGCTTGTATTGTCCTATGGAAGTTGTATTGCATGTTACTCACATTTCTCCCCCTCCCCGCTCCATCCTCACAGCTTAGGGAGTACAAAGTCGTTGGGCGCCTCCTGCCCTCAGCTAAGAACCCCACCCCTCCTCTGTACCGCATGAGGATCTTCGCTCCTAACCATGTGGTGGCCAAGTCTCGCTTCTGGTACTTTGTGTCCCAGCTGAGGAAGATGAAGAAGGCCAACGGAGAGACGGTCTACTGCGGCCTGGTGGGTAGCACGTTCACAGGGACAGGGTGGGCTCACTGGTGGGATGGGCCTGGTAGGTAGCATGTTCACAGGGACAGGGTGGGCTCACTGGTGGGATGGCCTGTACATGTGGGCCACATGGCCTGACAGGGGTGGCTCATACTGGTGGAGGGGGCATGGCTGGTATACGGGAATCGATGGCCCTGGTCGTACTGGACAGGGTGGATCTCACTGTTTGGCCTAGGACAGGAAGGGTCATTGGAGATTCCTGGTGGGATGGGACTGTTGATAGGCCTGCCGGTAGGTTTTTCGAGACAGTCACGGCATCGTTGTCTGGTGGTACTGTCCGTAGGCCATTGTACTGTAGGAATGGAATAGACATTCAGGGTAACATGGTAATGCTGTTGCAGACATGGTTTTGTCATGGTCGAATTCAGTGCCCACTGTCGAACCAGGTTAGTTTCAGGGATATGCTGCATACCACGCGATACTGATCCGAAGATACGACAAAGGTAAGTTAGGTAGTCACAGAATGGATTGGATCCGATGGCTGAGCTCCGTGTGCTGTGGTCAATCGTTGGGTATTTCAATGTTACACATAGAACAGCGGTAGGATTATGGTCACTGAGTTACATCACAGGACAGGTTTTGTAACAATATCGGGAGCCAGGTGACAGCGGTGTATGGCTGTGGGGCAAGGGCAGTGATGGCCTGTGGGTAGCAGGAAGTGGTATGGGCCTGGTTAGACAGGGACAGTGGGATGGGCCTGGTGGGTAGACAGGGACAGGGTGGGATGGGCCTGGTGGGTAGCACAGGGACAGGGTGGCCATGGTGGTGGGTAGACACAGGCAGCAGGTTGGGGTGCATATCTGGTGGTAGACAGGACAGGGTGTGGGCCTGTGGGTGGTTAGCACAGGGACATGGGATGGCTCATGTGATGGGCCTGGTATGGGCTATGGCACAGGGACAGGGTGGCGATGGGACCTGGGGGTAGCACAGGACAGGGTGGGATGGCCTGGGGGTAGCACAGTTAGGGACAGGTGGACCAGCCACACTCACGGGGGATGTGAGAAACGCATGGGCGGCCAAGTTTCATAGTATTGGATGCATATCTTTTAACGTGTTTATTTTCTATTTACTGAGATTTCATTACGTGCAAATAAACTATTATATTCAGGGAATCGATGACCTCACTGGTCTGTCTGGGAGCAAGTATTACTGTTGCACACACAGACATAAAGTAGTTTAAAGACCCTGTCCATTAGAGAGATTACAGGAGAAAAGGAACTGTTGATAATCCTGACCGGTATTAGATTTGTACGGAGATCAGTCGCCGCATCGTTTGTCTGGTGGTACTCTCCCGTAGGCCCATTGTACCTGTAGAAATGGAAAATTAGACATTTTCAGGGTAAACGTGAGTAAATGCTATGCATGCACACTGGTTTTGTCATGATACCAGAATTTTGACTTCGATACCAGGTTTAGTTTCAGGATACTCCATACCATCGCGATACTCGATTCCAAAACGATACGACTAATAAAGATAATCGTATTAGCTAAAGTCACAGAATGGCACTTGGATCCAGATGGCTGAGCTCCGCTGCTGCTGTGGTCAATCGTTGGGTATCTTCAATATTATCACATTAGAACAGCCATGTATGCATTAATGAGTCAATTATGCAATCAATCTGACTTTGTTTTTACCAATCTAACTACATAACATAACGGTAATCATTTATTCGACAGGTAAATCTCTATTGATAAACTAATTAAATCAAAATGTAGCCTAGGTCTGTTCACAGTACAGGTGAATGCATATTATTCAATAGGAGTTTGTGCATGCGTTGAGTTATTGAGCTTATTTTAGCTGATTTCATGGGGCTGCAGATGACAAACAATCCCTTCCATTTAGGACTTATTTTATTGGCAACTGCTAGGAGAGCATTGTTTTATTGTACTGATCAACATTTGCATAGAAGCAATCTCTTCTTTTATACGTGTGCCTGTCTCTTTAAGAAAGTAATGACTTCATTGCAAGGCATAATGTGGCTGTGAAAACCAGACTGGAGGCGAGTGAGACTTTGTGGCTGTGGAATCTAGTGAAAACCAGACTGGAGGCGAGGGGAGACTTTGTGGCTGTGGAATCTAGTGAAAACCAGACTGGAGGCGAGGGGAGACTTTGTGGCTGTGGAATCTAGTGAAAACCAGACTGGAGGCGAGGGAGACTTTGTGGCTGTGGAATCTAGTGAAAACCAGACTGGAGGCGAGGGAGACTTTGTGGCTGTGGAATCTAGTGAAAACCAGACTGGAGGCGAGTGAGACTTTGTGGCTGTGGAATCTAGTGAAAACCAGACTGGAGGCGAGTTAGACTTTGTGGCTGTGGAATCTAGTGAAAACCAGACTGGAGGCGAGGGAGACTTTGTGGCTGTGGAATCTAGTGAAAACCAGACTGGAGGCGAGTTAGACTTTGTGGCTGTGGAATCTAGTGAAAACCAGACTGGAGGCAAAGGAGACTTTGTGGCTGTGGCATCTAGTGAAAACCAGACTGGAGGCGAGTGAGACTTTGTGGCTGTGGAATCTAGTGAAAACCAGACTGGAGGCGAAGGAGACTTTGTGGCTGTGGCATCTAGTGAAAACCAGACTGGAGGCGAAGGAGACTTTGTGGCTGTGGAATCTAGTGAAAACCAGACTGGAGGCGAGTGAGACTTTGTGGCTGTGGAATCTAGTGAAAACCAGACTGGAGGCGAAGGAGACTTTGTGGGAGACTAAGTGAATGAGTTTTTGATGACAATCAGCTTTGAAATCAGCGTATTTTGCTTTATGGTTTGCGTATTATCATAAAGTACCAGGGTCGTATACTGGTGTTGCTTCAGCTGTAAACTAGCAAGGAGCGTTAGCCTACAATTAAAGATGGATGAGATCGGTATTGGAAAAGTGTTCTAGCCTGTATGGACATTGTTTTGCGAACAGTTAACATTTTCTACATGCCGTGTTGCATTATTCAAATGTTAATTTCTGTGCAGCGTTAAATCCATTTGCTCTTCACGCTGTAAAGGGGCTGCGCTGATAGACTTGAACCGCTCAATCGCGCGAGACCCATTTTGACAGAGGTACCGAGTGTAACAAAATGCTAGTACCGGACCGATTTGTTATATGTACTTCATCTTTATCCCACTGGCCTGTAGGTGTCAGTCACGTTAAAACCTTACAGAATGAGACAACTTCCTGTTTACCATTTAGGTGTCAGTCAGGTTAAACCTTACAGAGTTAGACAACTTCCTGTTTACCATGTAGGTGTCAGTCAGGAGGTTGTCTCATTCTGTAAAGTTGAACCTTTCTTGTCTAATGATACCTCTTGTTTCCCCCCCACCTCTTGTCTCAGGTGCACGAGAAGACTCCTCTGAAGGTGAAGAACTTTGGCATCTGGTTGCGTTACGACTCCCGTAGTGGAACCCACAACATGTACAGAGAATACAGAGACCTGACCACCTCTGCAGCCGTCACCCAGTGCTGTAAGTACGCCCCGCTGTGGCCCCGTGTCCTGCAGTCTGTCTGACCGGCTTCCAGGCCTGTGGTACACTGGATTAACACATTGATGCAGTCTTTCGGGCCTGTGGTACACTGGATTAACCCATTGATGCAGTCTTTCGGGCCTGTGGTACACTGGATTAACCCATTGATGCAGTCTTTCAGGCCTGTGGTACACTGGATTAACTCATTGATGCATTGGACAGACATTTTAAGATCTGTGATCATTATTAGATGGTTCCTTTATGATAGATGTTAGTAAAAAAAAAATGTAAACTTGTATCTGCTGTAGATCTGTAGAGTTAATGGTGTAAACGTTGAGCTAGCACAATGTGCATTGGGACGCAGCAAACAATTTAGGCAACAGGGATCTTGATCCAGGAGGTGTGATACTCTCCCCAGAGGCTGGGTCTAGCTGAATAACCTGATGTACCTGCTGATCCCAATAGTGTATAATCTTGTCACTTGTCAATAATGGACCTGTGCTCATACATTTATTGAAGGTTCTCTCATCAAAGCTAGACATTTTAGTACCTCCCGTCTAAGTAACGCAGACTTACGTATCCCAATTATATTGTCTGTCTTTAAAATCGGGTGGGATACATGATTATTTGTAAATGCTGCGACATTAAGACATGACATTTTCACACTCCTTTCTGAAGTGTGAAAACAAGCAACCTGAAATTTTCTGCTTGTAGATTTAATAATAGTGTGACACTGCTTATTATGCACAACGCTTACATTTGTGCCTGCATAAACATTTTAGGAAAGGACTTGTCCAGGGGAGTTGAAATCTCCTTCTTACCAGAGGCTGATTGCGTCTACAGCCTGCTACAGAGGACCATTGGGTGGCATGCCTGTTTCCAGAACATGGTGCATGCCTGTGTTGCACGATTTTTCACAAAGTTCAAGTGTGAGCTCAGCAGACCTGAAATTTGCTCAGTGGCGGGGGGGAAAATAGAGGAGACATTGCTTAATTTGCCCTCCTTAAAGGTCCTGATAGAACTTTCTTGAGGGTAAATAGTAACTTGGCCTGTCTTCCAGGAGGGCAGTTGGGTGGCATTGGCCTGTCTTCCAGGAGGCCAGTTGGGTGGCATTGGCCTGTCTTCCAGGAGGCCAGTTTGGGTGGCATTGGCCTGTCTTCCGGGAGGGCAGTTGGGTGGCATTGGCCTGTCGTCCAGGAGGCCAGTTGGGTGGCATTGGCCTGTCTTCCAGGAGGCCAGTTGGGTGGCATTGGCCTGTCTTCCAGAGGGCAGTTGGGTGGCAGGGCCGTATTCCGGGAGGGCAGTTGGGTGGCATTGGCCTGTCTTCCGGGAGGGCAGTTTGGGTGGCATTGGCCTGTCTTCCGGGAGGGGCAGTTGGGTGGCATTGGCCTGTCTTCCAGGAGGGCAGTTGGGTGGCATTGGCCTGTCTTCCAGGAGGGCAGTTGGGTGGCATTGGCCTGTCTTCCAGGAGGGCAGTTGGGTGGCATTGGCCTGTCTTCCAGGAGGGCAGTTGGGTGGCATTGGCCTGTCTTCCAGGAGGGCAGTTGGGTGGCATTGGCCTGTCTTCCAGGAGGGCAGTTGGGTGGCGTTGGCCTGTCTTCCAGGAGGCCAGTTGGGTGGCGTTGGCCTGTCTTCCAGGAGGCCAGTTGGGTGGCATTGGCCTGTCTTCCAGGAGGGCAGTTGGGTGGCATTGTCACGGCGCTGTGTTTATTTTTTAACGTTTGTCCCCCGTGTTCTCCAGATCGGGACATGGGTGCTCGCCATCGTGCCCGTGCTCACTCCATCCACATCATGAAGGTCCAGGAGATCGCTGCCAACAAATGCCGCAGACCTGCCATCAAGCAGTTCCACGTAAGTCAACACACACACCATATATCAATTACTGTTGGTGCTTTATTGATTATGTTTTTAGATATTTTTTTACAAATTAAAAATGAAAAGCTGATATGTCTTGAGTCAGTAAGTATTCAACCCCTTTTTTATTTATGGCAAGCCTAATTAATAAATATGTTAAAGAGTACAACTTTGCTTAACTAGTCACATAATAAGTTGCATGGACTTACTGTGTGGAGTAATGGGGTTGAATTACTACCTCATCTCTGTACTCCACACGTACAATTACCTGTATGGTCCCCCAGTCGAGCAGTGAATTTCAAACACAGATTCAACCACAAAGCTCAGGGGGGTTTTCTAATGTCTGGCGAAGAAGGGCTCCTATTGGTGGATAATAATAATATATTGGGAGATGGGTAGAAATAAATACAAAAGGTAGACATTGACTATCCCTTTGCAAATGGTGAAGTTATTAATAACACTTTTGATGGTGTATCAGAATAAAAAATATTCAAAAATGTGCATCCTGTTTGCAACAAGGCACCAAAGTAAAAAAAATGAAAAAATGTGGCAAAGAAATTAACTTTGTCCTGAATACATTTGACATTTTAGTCCTTTTAGCAGTAAGAGCGATTTACAGGAGCAATTAGGGTTAAGTGCCTTGCTCAAGGGCACATCAACAGATTTTTCACCTAGTCGACTCAGGGGTTTGAATACTTAACTAATCAACATATATTAGTGTTTTATTTCTTTGTAACAAATGTTTAGAATTTTTCTTCCACTTTGACAGAGTATTCTGTGTAGACTGTTGACAAAAAAATCCATTTGAATCCCACTTTGTAACATAACAAAAAGTCAATGGTGTGAATAGTTTCTAAAGGCACCGTAGCGATGCAACAGTAGTTTCCAACATCGGTCGTTTTAGTCACAGTGGGGATATTTTAAGTTTCACCAAATTGATAATGAATAGACTGTCGGGGCGGGTAGCCTGGCGGTTAAGAGTGGTAACGGAAAGGTTGCTGGTTTGAATCCCCCAAGCTGGCTAGGTGAAATATCTGTCGATGTGCCCTTGAGCAAGGCTGCTGTTTAACTGAGTATAATGTACCACAGTGTCTTGCTGTTGAACTGAGTATAATGTACCGCAGGTCTCTCTCTGGTCTGGCTCTCTATCGGTCAGCTCCGGATAAAAACCTGCCAGACAAAACACCAGATTCCTCTTCCAGATTTTAATGTTCCCAGTCTTAAAACCTGGCGGTTTAGAACCTGGAGACATGGTCATGCTACAGTCTGTAAAATGATGTTGGTGTTGTAAATTCATTGTCTAATCTCTAACCCCCTTAGTTGTATATATTTCTACGAGGTTTTAAAATGATTGTAGCTATGTAGGTTTCTGCTGTTCAAATAAACCCAGCTAGTGTTAGCATGGCGGCGGCGGCGAGGTGAGCCCTGTTTTCCTAATGGAAATGCTAGGAGCTCGGATGCAATCATTTTAACGTTTCAAAACGTTGTTGTTCAATTATTGCATCCGAGCTCCTTTGCGTTTTGCGTTCAGCTCCGCTAGCCAGCGTCTCGCCGAACCAGGCGTGCATTTTCTTCTGCCTCCCCAGATGAAATAACATGCCTAAACATCTCTTGTCCTCCTCCTTTAGGACTCCAAGATCAAGTTCCCGCTGCCCCACAGGGTCCTGCGTCGTCAGCACAAACCCCGCTTCACCACCAAGAGACCAAACACCTTCTTCTAAAAGGAAATAACCTTGTTTTCACTTCGTGCGGGAGAATAAAATTTTGAATGATAGAAAAGCCATTTGTTTGAGTTGACATTTTTTTCATTGTTTGGCAAATAATTGATTTGTGTTACATCTGGCCTGCAGTTTGACGTGAATGATGGAACTAATTCTCTGAACCACAAGTTGGATTGCATAATGTTTTGCAGGAGGGGGAAATTGTCGGTGGATATTATGCGAGCAGTTATCAGTAAACGTTCAGAAATGTTGAGAGAGAATTTGGGCCGTGCCACAGATTTGCTACAAACCAGCCCCTAATTACGGCTTTATAATGACCATTTACCAAGAATATGTATTCCATATGAGTGCTGATCAATATGAAAGATTAAAAGTTGCCAAACATAACATGGTTGAGCTCATCTGGACCGTCTGTGGGTTGGTTCATCCATTGACCTGGAAGGGCCCCCCCCCCCCCTTTTCTAGTAGAAGCTCACATTTTAACAGTTTTTTGCGTTTTGTTCAAAGTAGTTTCACACCACTAACATTTGTAAAGAAACATTGACGTATGAAGAAAAAAAGTATGAAAAAATTAAAATAATGTATGCACTCAAGGGTAAGTCGCTCTGGATAAGAGTGTCTGCTAAATGACTAAAATGTAAATGTAAAGAAACCATACCATTAGTCCTGTGTTTGCTGTACATTTCTTTACATGTACTTCATGTTTGAGGCACATACATGACTCACCTTCCACATTTATTTTAATGTCCAGTAATTTGGCGCCATCTTGTGGTCTGCGGTGGTTCGAGCGCTTCAACGTCACAGGACTTCACAGGACCCTCGGGTGGTAGTCTTGAGGTACCGAGTTTATAGATGGTTTGCTGTCTTAAAAATTCGGTTAAATACCTTGCAAATCTTAAGGTAAGTTGGATGAAACGGGCTGTCTATTCGATAAAATAAGCGGAAAGTTATTCTCAATTGAAATTGCTCAACTTCCAACCTACATGTAAATCCGACGTAATTTTTTTTGCTCAACTCATAGACCTTAAATCCAGCGTCACGTTATGTTCTGTGTCAGTTTCTTCCATTCGGACTTGCTTTTAGGTTGGTCAATGTGTCACGACATGTATGCTGACATGCTTAAACCAGTGCACGGCAATATGAAATGATGAATTGTCTACAATCTCATGTGGGTAAAGGAGGCCTGTAGATATCAGTGGCAGGCAATGCCCAGGCATGCAGCAGTAGGGCGTACAGTGTTGGCTGAGGGGAGAGCACACTTATTGTTGCGTGGTGACAGATGCAATGGAACACCAGTTTAATACTGGTTTATTCCCCCAGGTTTCCATATGGTCCTGACTGACCTCTGACCTCTCTGTAAAGCCCTTCTGAAACCCTCACAACATCAGGTTGACGTAACTGTAATACCCTGATGTGTTTTATCTACACTGAACGAAAATATAAACGCAACTGTGCAACAATTTAAAAGATTTTAATGAGTTACAGGTCATATAAGCACATCAGTCAATTGAAATAAATAAATTGGGCCCTAATCTATGGATTTCACATGACTGGGAATACAGATATGCATCTGTTGGTCACAGGTACCGTGTAAAAAGAAAAAGAAAAGTGGGGCATGGATCAGAAATCCAGTCAGTATCTGGTGTGACCATTTGCCTCATGCGGTGCAACATCTCCTTCGCATAGAGTGGATCAGGCTGTTGATTGTGGGAACTGGAACATGCTGTCGTACACGTTGATCCAGAGCATCCCAAACATGCTCAATGGGTGACAGTCTGGTGAGTATGCAGGCCATGGAAGAACTGGGACATTTTCAGCTTCCAGGGATTGTGTACAGATCCTTGCGTCTTGGGGCCGTGCATTATGATGCTGAAACATGAGGGGATGGTGGTGGATGAATGGCACAACAATGGGGCCTCAGGATCTCGTCACGGTATCTCTGTGCATTCAAATTGCCATCGATAAAATGCAATTATGTTTGTTGTCCATAGCTTATACTTGTCCATACCATAACCCCACCGCCACCATGGGGCACTCTGTTCACAAACTGCTCTCCCACACAACGCCATACAACGCTGTCTGCCATCTGCCCGGTACAGTTGAAACCGGGATTCATCTGTGAAGAGCACACTTCTCCAGCGTGCCAGTGGCCATCGAAGGTGAGCATTTGCTCACTGAAGTCGGTTACGACGACTTACTGCAGTCAGGTCAAGACCCCGGTGAGGACGACGAGCACGCAGATGAGCTGACTTTCTGACAGTTTGTGCAGAAATTCTTTGGTTGTGCAAACCCACAGTTTAATCAACTGTCTGGGTGGCTGGTTTCAGACGATCCCGCAGGTAAAGAAGCCGGATGTGGAGGTCCTGGGCTGGCGTGGTTACACCTGGTCTGTGGTTGTGAGGCCGGTTGGACGTACTGCCAAAACGTTGGAGGCGGCTTATGGTATATAAATTAACATTAAATTATCTGGCAACAGCTCTGGTGGACATTCCTGCAGTCAGCATGCCAATTGCACGCTCCCTCAAAACTTGAGACATCTGTGACATTGTGTTGTGTGACAAAACTGCACATTTTACAGTGGCCTTTTATTCTCCCCCAGCACAAGGTGCACCTGTGTAATGATCATGCTGTTTAATCAGCAACTTGACATGCCACCCCTGTCAAGTGGATGGATTATCTTGGCAAAGGAGAAATGATCACTATTTTTTATTTTATTTTTTATTTCACATATAGGGATATTATTTTTGACGATGTATTGTTTTGACAATCGCAATATTATTTTTGCGTTAGTTGGCTTTACCTGCACCAAAACTCAAGTATGTTTCCTTCATAGCTTGTTCTCCGTCTTCTTTTTAAATAGTGAGCCAATTTGTTTTCAGCACTTTTTTTTATTTCCATGACTGATCAAAACTTGTTTTCTTGGGCCTCCCAAGTGCAGCGGTCTAAGGCACTGCATCGCAGTGCTTGAGGCGTCACTACTTTTATTTTTTATTTTTTTATTTAACCAGGTAAGCCAGTTGAGAACAGGTTCTCATTTACAACTGCGACCTGGCCAAGATAAAGCAAAGTAGTGCAATAAAAACAACACAGAGTTACATATGGGGTAAAAAAACATAAAGTCAGAAATACAACAGAAAATATATATACAGTGTGTGCAAATGTAGCAAGTTATGGAGGTAAGGCAATAAATAGGCTATAGTGCAGAATAATTACAATAGTATTAACACTGGAATGCTAGATGTGCAAGAGATTATGTGCAAATAGAGATACTGGGGTACAAAAGAGCAAAATAAATAACAATATGGGGATGAGGTAGTTGGGTGTGCTAATTTCAGATGGGCTGTGTACAGGTGCAGTGATCGGTAAGGTGCTCTGACAACTGATGCTTAAAGTTAGTGAGGGAGATAAGTGTCTCCAGCTTCAGAGATTTTTGCAATTCGTTCCAGTCATTGGCAGCAGAGAACTGGAAGGAATGGCGGCCAAAGGAGGTGTTGGCTTTGGGGATGACCAGTGAGATATACCTGCTGGAGCGCAGACTACGGGTGGGTGCTGCTATGGTGACCAATGAGCTAAAATAAGGCGGGGATTTGCCTAGCAGTGATTTATAGATGGCCTGGAGCCAGTGGGTTTGACGACGAGCATGTAGTGAGGACCAGCCAACAAGAGCGTACAGGTCACAGTGGTGGGTAGTGTATGGGGCTTTGGAGACAAAACGGATGGCACTGTGATAGACTACATCCAATTTGCTGAGTAGAGTGTTGGAGGCTATTTTGTAAATGACATCGCCGAAGTCAAGGATCGGTAGGATAGTCAGTTTTACGAGGGCATGTTTGGCAGCATGAGTGAAGGAGGCTTTGTTGCGAAATAGGAAGCCGATTCTAGATTTAACTTTGGATTGGAGATTCTTTATGTGAGTCTGGAAGTTGAGTTTACAGTCTAACCAGACACCTAGGTATTTGTAGTTGTCCTAACAGGGATGTAAACAAATTTGTGCAGAAAATAAGAGAAATACGTTTTTTTGTGAGTATGGGACATTTCTGGGATCTTTTTATTTCAGCTCATGAAACATGGGACCAACACGTTACATGTTACGTTTCTATTCTAGTTCAGTGTATGTAGCACCAAGCTGTGGTGACATGTTCCTTTTTCCAGATAAAACTTCCCCCTGTCTGTGTGGGAGGAGGTATGCTGTTAATCAGAGCGACCATCAGGAGGCAGAACCACAACACTCAGGCTGCCTCCAAAACAGCCTCCTTTCCCTATTGGCCCTGGTCTAAAGTAGTGCACTATATAGGGAATAGGGTGCCATTCTCTGGTCTAAAGTAGTGCACTATATAGGGAATAGGGTGCCATTCTCTGGTCTAAAGTAGTGCACTATATAGGGAATAGGGTGCCATTCTCTGGTCTAAAGTAGTGCACTATATAGGGAATAGGGTGCTATTCTCTGGTCTAATGTAGTGCACTATATAGGGAATAGGGTGCCATTCTCTGGTCTAAAGTAGTGCACTATATAGGGAATAGGGTGCCATTCTCTGGTCTAAAGTTGTGCACTATATAGGGAATAGGGTGCCATTCTCTGGTCTAAAGTAGTGCACTATATAGGGAATAGGGTGCCATTCTCTGGTCTAAAGTTGTGCACTATATAGGGAATAGGGTGCCATTCTCTGGTCTAAAGTAGTGCACTAGATAGGGAATAGGGTGCCATTCTCTGGTTTAAAGTAGTGCACTATATAGGGAATAGGGTGCCATTCTCTGGTCTAAAGTAGTACACTATATAGGGAATAGGGTGCCATTCTCTGGTCTAAAGTAATGCACTACATAGGGAATAGGGTGCCATTCTCTGGTCTAAAGTAATGTACTATATAGGGAATAGGGTGCCATTCTCTGGTCTAAAGTAATGTACTATATAGGGAATAGGGTGTCATTCTCTGGTCTAAAGTAGTGCACTATATAGGGAATAGGGTGCCATTCTCTGGTCTAAAGTAGTGCACTACATA